TACAGTAGAATCCGCTTATAATGACATCGAAGGGAAATGACAAACACGTCATACTAAGCGGGCGTCATACAAAGCATAGTCTTAGAAAATAAACAACTTTCTATTTTGGTTAGTTATTTAGTTTAATAGAGAGAAAAACTACAAATTGTATATATTTATTAACAGAAAAAGAAAAACAACGATGAATTGTAATATCAAAATACATAAGAAGGATCAGAAAAATGAGCGAAAATGTTATTATTAATCATTCGTGTCACTATAGCCGGGTATGATTTCTTGAGAATCAGTCATAATAAACGATATGTCATTTTAAACGGAGTCATTATATCCAAACTTTGCTATAGAGAATTTAATATGAAAACCAAACTTAACATTGCAATTACTTTGTATTAAGCGGTTGGTCTATATAGGCGGACTCATAATAAACGAGTTCCACTGTACCTTAGGTGAATTGTCAACGCTAATTTGACTTTTAAAATTGAAAGTGTTTGAAATGTATAGTAGTAATTACCCTGCTGGTTATACATGTATCTATTTTCGAAAGTGCTTAAAATGACTTTTATTTAAAAAATATTTGACGAAACAAAAACGTATTCATAGTTGTACCTTAGTATCTTCAACATTTTTAAATCAAATGAATTTACGAAGTAAAAATGACGTCAACATGCATGCGAGGGCAAATTGAATTATCGGATTTAAATTGTTTGTAATTTAGAATTGCTTCAAGATAATAATAACAAGAAATACCTCTCTGAAAACTGTCCCAAACTAATCCAACTTTCAAAATCTTTTGAACAAAGCGTAAGACCCTTCAAAAACTTTAAATTGCGTTCATTGGACTTATATTACTTTATTATTTGTATGAAATGATAGCTGAAAGTATTTGTACGAATTTTCCTACATCTTGTTGTAGTTTTCATGGCAGCATGTAATAGAATAGATCCCTACTTACGGTTTCCAACTCGCCACTAGTATTAGAATAGGTAATACAAGAACACGTTTTGATTGATTTAAACATTTATCAAAAAGAAAATGTATTCATTCAATTTTCACGGATCTACCTGAAAAAAATACCAAACCCCGGAAAACTACCTACAAACTAAATAAGAACGTATCTAATGCCTCGATATTTACTTAGGTATGTTGAAACTGAATAAAAATCTTATTTCAAAGATAATCAGAAGTTTTCTTTAATCAATCTTCAAAAGGTTAAAATCAAGTTGCAAAGTTTGTATATTTACAGGGTGGAAATTTAGAGGGATTGGTGAAGGGGGGCTAGTTCAAATATTCTGCAGATATATACGAATTAAACATTTTAATGCATTTAAACATCACTAAAAATGCAATTTAATTATTTTTGTAATCAATTTTTTTAATTATAATAAATTTCGAAAAAAATAGTCATTATATTTCTGATATACAATTTTTCCGAAAATGTTTTGACAATTATTGCTCTTTTAGACCATCTTAGCGAAGATAGGAGTCGTTTGTACACCAATTTTACTAAAAATTATCATTAAAAAATTCATCTGAATTTTCTTGAATACAAAAATAATTCAATGATTGATATAAACTACCCCGTTAAATTTAAAGATCGGAGCAAACATTTCGTACCATAAATTATCGTATATAAAAATTTCATCGATAAATACGAAAAACAATACGTATATGAAACACAAACATACTTAAATCTAATAAACAACGAAAGCGTGATAATTAGAAAAAAAAAGGTTCAATACTAATTATACGTCATTCCTGATAACCTTCTCTTCGTGTATAAAATGTCCCATCAAAATCGGTTCAACCGTTTCATGGATTATCCCATACAGACAGACGGACAAATTTCTTTTAACAGTCATTTATGCCTTAATGGTATATACATGAGCTTAAAAAAGGCAGTTATTTGGATATTATAGGCAGGTACTTCCACGTGAGAGCAATCAAAATATGAGTCATCATTACAGCATGTTACAATTTATAAGTGAGTAATGTTATGACCTGATAACAAAGCGTCAAATAAATAAAAACAGAACGAGATATTAAACAAATAACCATTAATTTTGATAACGCGTTAATAATCTTCTAAATAGTTATTAAAAATTGCTAAATCCACTTAAATATGTACCTGAATACTTATTTGAAACGTATGAAATTACTGAAGGAATGCGAATGCAGCAGTTTAAGGGAAATAGGTACATCAGATTGCTGACGATAGCATTTTTGCGACGCGTTAAAAATCACATAACAATAATTGCTTTTATATGTCTTTTATGATCAAATATATATACATTATTGACAAAAATAAATGGAATAAATTCAAGGAAATTCATTGTTAAAAAGTAAAGTCACTTTTTTATATTTCCTTAATTTATCTCCGGCAAACAAAATTCAGGCAAGTACAAAGATAGCTGCTGAATATTTGACTAATAATCTCTGTAGTCGACACATTTGTTCCTATTATTACGATAACACTTCCTACAATACATATACAGTGATATTTAAAAATTTCATTCATCTGCAGAAACTGTATTATGCTAAACAGTAAACGTATAAAAAATTGGGTCAACGCGATTTGTTAAATATCACCTTTAAATCAAGAATAAGAAAGTGAAATTTTAGTCTCGTATTCAAAACAACTCCATAATATTCCATTTCAGAAGAATATTGCTAATTAAAATTCAAAATTAACAAAAATGTCTATTTCAGTAATACAAACACAAATTAAAAAGACACGGAGCTTCAATGAACATAAAGGTACTTCCTTCCAAACTAGAAGTAACGATAAATTTGATTAATTCCTTGATTAATATATGATTGTCGGTTATTATATATACTCGACCCTAAGTTTGGAAAATGTGATGAAATCTTAAGTATTTACCAAATTAACAAAACAAATGTCATGACTACTATAACGACCGCTTGGTTAGTGTTGTCTTTACCTTACCATCTTAACCAAACCGAACCTAATGGATTTATTTAATTACTTAGAATCATAAAGTTACGGTAGGTAAAGACAACACGAATGAAGTGGCTGTTGTAATAATTAGGCACTGCTGTAAATAGAAACAAAAGAAAGAACCTATTGCTTATAATAATGTGCAATAAGAACTCGCCAGTAAATTTAATAATTATTCAAGTATTTATGGCATTTACCAAATTTAATGGTGATTATGCACATGCAATTAACTGGCAATTATACATAATCACCAGATTAATTAAATTTACAATTCGGCAGTAGTGTTCGTACGGGCAACAGGCACATGTAGGTACTATATGTATATCAAATTAAAGGTCTCGGCATTCTATATTCATTAGAAAAGAGTGCGGGACGATTGGTCGCACGGCTCACTCGTGTATAAATTGTCGTGAATGGTATCCAATGAAAAATACACGTGTTATATATGCAGAAAATTCAAGACTCACAATTCTTTGTGCATCTACATAAAACAAATTACCTAATTAGTAGTTCTATTTCCGTAGAAAATGTGAACAAATATAAAAATACAATATTTATTAAATATTTTAATTAAATTGAATTTAATTGATTATTGTATTCTTATACAAAACATCAAAGATATTTTTAGAAACAAAAGCGTGTTAAAAAGCTCAAAAAGGTGCACTGCAACATTGAAATTGAACATTGTTTAAACGTACCAAAAATACATATCATTCTCCATGGTTATGTATGCAAACTGTTATCGTTTCACATTATTATCAAAACAGCTAATTAAAAAAGTTGATACCGAAACAGTTAAATATCACAAAATATTTGAAATATGCGCAAATGTGTTGTACATTGGTTAGTACACATAACAAAGGCTGAGAATGCGTTAACACCTGAAAAAGATTTTGACCTCGGTAACACTAACTTTTCTTAAGCAAATCTACTACGGTACAACAGATTAGATATGATTAAATACCTTAGTGTAGAGTTCAGTGGTTGTCATGATCCTAATTGTAGAATATCTGCATTAGACTTCGAAATTATTCGCGTACTTTTTTCTTTCACAAACACCGACACTTTTTTACTTTTTGTACTGACGATCGGTTTAAAACAAAAAGCATTGTATCCTCGTGTGACAACAAAACCGGTTTATCACATTTTAATCACTGGATCGAAAACAGTGTGTTGACATTTGCAAGAGAAAGATTAAAGTTTTCACTGATAAAACTCCGTATTTTCCACTCACACTAGCGCAGTTTGAATCGCGAGCATAGCGCACTTACTGCAAATGCCATGTGTGAAAGTAAAGATCGCAGATAGACGGCAAGTAGAGTTAGAGAAGGAAAAAAAGAAAAAAAGGATAAAGTAATCTTTCCATACAACACTTTGAAGAAGCTAACTGTACGATCTAGTCGGAAACTATAAATTTTCAAATAAATAAGAAAACTGTTTCCCAGCAGTAACCTACAGTTACCAAAAGAAACTATATTTTCAGATATCATCAACAGAGAACGCCACAAGTTTATACAGCATGATTTATTTTTTAAAAATAAAAATCTTACCAAGAACATTATTTCTGCACCTACATATGTAAACATCAATTAGTTGAAAATTAAAAAGTATTTAACAGAAACAATATATTAATGCAAATTTTATTCTATCCGCAGAATATTTTGTATTAATCCTGGATTTCTTCAAAAGAATGTGTCGTGTGAAATTATCACTTAAAAGCTTTTGAATTACTCCTTTTTCTTTTAAAACTTAAAATCAACTTTTTAATATGTTTGCAATTAATGTGCTCTTTTATTGTTGAAAAAATGAAGATTTTTGGTGGATCGAAGAAGCAGATGCAGAAATGGATTAAGGATCGACGATTACGGTCTGAGGACGATGCATTCTTTTGATGGATAGTTTGCAAAAATGGCAATCTCTAACATTTACCGATGCAGATAATTCATTTTCGAGATATTAAAAGGACCACGTTATTCTAAGGGCCAAGTATAAAATACCACAGTAGATCATGTGGGGAGAAGGGAGTTAAAAAATGGCTAAAATAGATCCCTATGGTTTATGGACAACCCCTAGTCATTATTTTAAGTTTATTTAAACAACACTCTAGTAGTAGTCGGAAAAACAGTAGTGGCTTTGAATCCATTATAGAAACGCCCTTATTATCGGGATGAATAAATTTCAGCAGTTCTCTATATCCAAAGCCACCGCGTCCTTGAGCCCTTACAACAAAAAGGTTATTAATTTTAGTTCAAAAAAGTTTTAATTTTGTTATGAAAATTATACAAATGTGCAGTATATGCTAAGTATATGAATATATTTCAGGTTTTATAAAGCATTATAAAGATTTCGGTTTTCTTTAAAATAGAAAGTTTTACCTTCACTATCCCAATCGTCCATATTTTTTACTATAGTTGGGTACTGGCAATGCTTTAAAGTTTTATTAACTCTTCGTCATTCCGTTCATTTAATTTTAACCTAAACCATGAATAAGTTTTTAATCTCTATTATGCTCTTTTAACAGTACGAATCTTTCGGTAATTGAAAATCTATATACGAAAAATAAATAAATTCTATATTGTCTGGCATTAGTTATAGGTTCATCACTGCTGCTTTGTACGTACATATGCAGATTTCTTTTTCTTCTCCCTAATATTAGAAAAATCAGGAAAAACGTCCATCTAGTTTGCTATAGTAGCAAAAATGATTTGTGTGAAATTTAATAGGTTCTGCGGCTCTTCAATTCATTTACAATAAATTTCAGATTTTGTGTTAATGTATTTGGATGTTGAATGTAGGATTTTACATCATTTTGCTCATAACATTATTAAGATTAAATATGTAGTAACAAATTTATAATCTGACGGGCGATTTTTGCAATTTTTATATGCTTTCCTAAGATCTTAGATAATCTAGGGCATACATTTTTATGTTTTGGGACCTTGACCTATAGCGGTCTCTGTCCCTTCCATTAGTTACAGTTGTTATCAGCAATATTGTTCGAGGTTGAAATAACTGCAGAAATTGATTCTATCCCTTTTACGTATGTCAACAGAATCGCCCCTAGTTAAATTACTTTTCCAAACCATTGCAGTGTTCAAACATTATTTCTTTTTCTAACCGATGCTACGTGACGGTGTTAAATTTCTGTTTATTATTGATATTATTAAACTTATGGGGGAATATTATTGCAGTTGTTTTCTTTGGAATTTACAATAACAAATATTTTTTAGATTTGAGGTAAAAATAGTAATGTTATGTAAATTGCATTGTAATTTTACTAGCCAATAAAAACAAGCATAAATTTCAATTAATTAATTTAAATTAATTAATGGTGCCCTTCGTTACATTTGTCGACCCGATGAAAATTTGTTTCGCTGGATAGTCAGACCATTTATAATTAATAAATTAATCGGCAAAGATTTAAATGACGCCGCTATTCCTAGGATTCTGTGATAACTTCGGTGGTCGAGTCTTAGATTTCTCCCTGCCCGCATACATTTGGGGTTTTGTCAAAATACGTGTTAGCTGTGACAGAAATAAAAAGTAGGGAAAGAGCGAATATAAAGACAAGAAACAAAAAACTAGAAGAAGTGGCTGATTTTAGATACCTAGGAAGTCAGATAAGTGAGGATGGAAGGAGTAGTAGAGATATAAAGCAGAGGAGTTTAGGGAAATGCGAAGTTTAGCTCAGGATAGGAAAGAGTGGAGGTGCGTGTCCAACCAGTCTTAGGACTGATGACCTTATGATGATGATGATGATAAATTCTTTCCCTTATGCGAATGTAACTTATCAAAGCCAAAATGGGACAAATAAAGCTTCTTTATTTAGTAAAACCAAACGTCAATGTTTCGCCCTAAATTATCGGTCTTTTTCAAAGCTAAATCAGTAAAGATCTATATATTAATCTTTTCTAACTTTTAAAAAGCAGTCTTGATAAGGCCCGATAATTTCTGTACAATATACAGTCTTTATAAAATGCGACTCACAACACAATAAGGTATTTACAATAATAAAATGACAACTAACTATAAACACCAAAAGTGACAGTTAACCTTTGGAAAAGTGGAGCACACCTTCGATTCAATCCTACTTCTATGTATGTGTGTCGATTTTTCATTCATGTTTTAGTTATTTACACAAGCAAACTGTAATAGGTATTAAAATATAAACAACATACAGGTCAATGAATTTGTCTGTGTCATTAGTAAGTATCACCATTACCGACAATATTAAACAATATACACGTATATGGTTTACGGAAATTAAACGATCAAAGTACTTTTTTGTTCTATAGCTGGGTCAGTTCAAGAAAAATATTCTAATACATACATATAGTGTTCAGGAAATAAAGAATTTTTCCAAAAATTGGTTTGCTAAATTCTGGCTTCTTCGGATGACTTCCAACTTTAAACTGAAGTCGAACATTAAACATTAAACGATCTAAAAATGTTCAAAACTATCGGGTTGTTCGGAAAGTCACTTCGTTTTTTTTTGTGGAAATGAAAGACAATTTTCGTATACTAAACAAATACTTTATTAAATTATATATTGACCGTTCTGGTCCAACACCTTTTGCCATCTTTCTGGTAGTAGCATAATTCCACGCTCATAAAATTTTTGGTCTTTGCTGGCAAAAAACTGATCGAGGAGGTTTTTGACCTCCTCATTTGAGGTGAAGGTTTTACCGTCTAAAAAATTTTGGAGTGACCGGAACAAATAATAATCCGATGGTGCCAGGTCTGGAGAATATGGTGGGTGTAGCATTGTATCCCATTCAAGCTGTAAAAGCTTTTGGCGAGTGACCAAACTTGTGTGAGGTCTCGCGTTGTCTTGGTGAAACACTACACCTTTCCTGTTGATTAGTTCTGACCTTTTCTGTTGAAGTGCATCATTCAGTTTGTCCAGCTGATGACAGTAGACTTCCGAATTAATCGTTGTGTTATCCGGTAAAAGCTAAAAAAAAACGATTCCTTTAAAATCCCACCAAACAGACAGCATCACCTTTTTTTGGTGAATATCGGCTTTGGAAATGGTTTGAGCCGGTTCATCTTTTTTGCTCCATGACCTCTTGCGTTTGACGTTGTTGTATACAACCCATTTTTCGTCCCCAGTGATGATGCGCTTCAAAAACGGATCATTTTCGTGACGTTTGAGAAGCGAATCGCAGACGTCAATGCGGCGACACAGATTTCTCTCTGTGAGAACATGGGGAACCCATACATCGAGCTTCGAGGATAATCCCAGGCCTTTCAAGTGGTCATAAACTGTTGAATTTGATAAATTTAACCTCAATCCGATCTCACGTGTTGTTATTCGCCGGTTCACATCAACTAATGCCTTTATCGCGTCTTTATCAGCTTCAACCGGCCTTCCCGAACGTGGTGCATCTTCGACATCAAAATTGCCGGATCGAAATTTAGCGAACCAGTTCTGGCACTGGCGTACTGTCAACACACCTTCTCCATACACATCAGTCAATTTCTTTCTGGCTTGAACAGCATTTTTACCCTTTCTGTAGTAAAACAGTAAGATATGTCGAAAATACTGCTTATCGCTCTCCATATTTAAAAGGGCACCAACCAAAAACTACTGCGTAGAATTAATTGGAATTTTTCACACACAAGCCTTGCTATATGAGCTCTCAAAGCATATAAAAATTAAATTATACGGCTTAAATGTGAAGTTGGGTGCAAAAGAATACAATTAAACCCTCTGTCGGGAAAAAACGAAATGACTTTCCGAACAACCCTATACTATAAATTCTAGTTAGGGATACAGATTAGTTTACGTGTTGTTTCTATAAGTTCATAAAAATTTAACATTTTTTTTTGAAATGCAGTCTATCGTACTAAATGTGGGTTTTTAATATTTTATGTACCTACTGTTTGATATTCAGTAACCGTATTTTAAAGTTATTATCTCTTCAACTTATGCAAAACGTGTATGTACCTACTCAAAATAACCATAATTTTGTGGACGAATTTAAAATTATAAATTTTAATAAAAACGGGGACGAAATATTAAATTTAGTATTAGTCGAACTTCTGAAAGTCGAAAGTAAAGACTAAGAAACCCAAATTTGTGAAAATTAAAACATAAATTTTATTTCAGTTGTGTATTTCCCAAGAATATTAATATAAATTTGAATGAAGGTAATGATGCATGAGAAAATTTTGGTCTTTCGAAAATGCCAAGATCGTCTTTATACTAACAAGACCAATACCAAGACCACACGTACTATACCAAGACTAAAACCAAGACCGAATATAAAAGACCAAGACCAAATACGTAA